TGGGTCGATGGTATTGCTACTTCTTTGGCAAATGGAACGTATCCAACTCGGTTTTTCCCGAGTTTTTACCGGATGTGACGTAATCTCGGATTCCGAAAATCGGAATCCGAGGCAAATGGAATGCACGATTAGTCCTCGAGTTCACTGTTCATCAATTACAGACTAGTAATTTATCACATGAAAATGAATTTAAACTGTATTATTAATTTAAATGGGAAAACCAGAGTTACTTATTTTTTCCACTATTTTAACATGATTACTCCTAACAGTTTGGTCAAACCCCAGAGAATATACTGGAGAATTATAGTGAATATTCAGATAACAAATTTGCAGTTATTTTAATGAAAACTGTAATTCCTGATATGTGTTGCAAAGGCAGCAAAGGAAGAGGAAGCAGAGAGAAAGGAAGTTATGACAGGTATTTATAGAAGCGTCATACCTGTAACAATCACCCGCATTGTTTCCTCATGGATCCCTAAATTGTTACTTGCCCTGCAGGTATAATTTCCCTCATGATCTATCTCGGAGATGGTGTAAATGCCGTCCTGTGTTGGTAATCGCTGGCCCTTTAACATCCAAACAATATTCGGGGGAGGATTCCCTTTAGCGCTGCAGTTTAACACAGCAGAATGGCCACGCCTCACATAGAGCAGGGTGTCTATTGGGTTGATAGTGGGTTTATCTGGTAAAGAGAAGAGAACCCAGTATTACTGACAGTATAGCTACAAAATCTCAGGCAATGTAAATCCCCAGCAAGCCTGTATGTGACAGTCAGCCAAGGAACCATGAGCAGAATCTCCTTATGATGTAGCTGATGCCTCAGAAATCTCCATGTAAACAGCCACAGTATTAATCACAATGTTAACAATAAGTGGAAGATCAAGGAAGAACACAAGAATTATATTTAATATGAATTATATCAGTGAACTACATTTGCCTGATTTGCACATTACTTTGCACAAAAGTGCCACCTAAATAATCCAAATGTAAATTAATTATCCACGTCTACAGGCAGCAAAGATCGTTGGTGACACAACTTAAAAGATGTGCAAAGTTTTATGCATAGACAGTACTCACAGTGCACAGTGATATTGAGGGGTGTTGATTTCACTGCAAGTGGGGGTTGTGGTGCTTCTGGTCCCAGGTCCAGTTCTGCCCCACAACTGTACTGTACGTTATCATCGGTTCTGTTAGTAGTTCTGTTGGCGGTGATCAGAACGATGGAAGCCACACTCACAGGTGCCTTTTCTCTGTCAGACTTTCCATCTTTTATGACATAGTCTCTGTCTTCATGTACTAATGTGTCCCCTTTGTACCACTTCACAGTGAGGTTCTGAACAGGAGCGATGTTCTGGATCTCACACTTCAGCTGGTACTGACTCCCCTCCACCATGGAGTCAGTAGAGTTCACAGAACTGACAGAAACACTGTCTGGGGGTTCTGTGAGGGAAAATGAGAAGCAT